GTCAGAAGTTGAAGAGCAAACATGAAGCAAATTGCCGAACCACAAACCCTGTCTTCTATTTAAAGGTCTCCATACTCAGCCTGGAGCAGAATGTGCATCACATCACCTGTGATATAAGCAAGTCCTAATCAAATATAGTGCTGAACTGGTTGCTTGCATATTAATGCTTGTAATGTTTTAGACTGCTTGTATTATACAACATATGTGAAGACACGTATGTGCAAAGGTTGCAAGTGTAAACCTGAACTAGCAAATTAGTTGGAAATGAGCAGCTAATTTTATGTCTAGTGACAACAACTTTACTGTGTTCAAAAGAATGTTAAATTAACACCTATTCTGTAACATACAAGGACAAGACATAACCCTCCCTATCCTTACACAGAACCTGAGTATCTTTTCCAACAATCTGCCTTGTCTGACTTTTCAAGAAGCATGTGGCTAAATTATATCACCTAACTTTTACTGACTCATCGTAATGACTCTAATTGCTCTCAGAAGATCTCTCACATTGCATCCTTATTCCTTAAATTATGTCTGGTAGAATTAATGTTTCATCTATTATATAGAGTACAGGCACAATTTTTTCAGAATGTTGCACCGTACGGTTAGTCATCATTTCTGTGATCCAAAAATGAAAGCCTAATCTGAATTGGCAGTCCGAGTAAATTGAAACATATTACAGTATTACTTTACAAACCAAACACAGTAATATATACCATATAGTAGGCAGGTCTGTTCTGGTACATGATACCCACAAATCACAGTGTAATTATATACTGTACGGAGGGAGTGGATGGAGATGCAACAGACAAGTGCAGACAGCACCAATTAAATGCTGGTTTAAATGTGTTGTTGTCATGGTGACTAAGCTAGAAGGCTACCTCTGAAATTCAGTTTCATATTAAATGCCGTTGCTTTTGTTCATGTGCCCGTCTCTTTATACTTCACCTCCCTCTGTGTGTGTGTGTGTGTGTGTGTGTGTGTGTGCGTGTGTGTGTGTGTGTGTGTGCGTGTCTCACTTCTTCCCAGTCTTTTCTGTCTGAAAGCATCAGAAACAGCCCCAGTTAACCAGCTTCAAACTGCCTCGTCTCCTTCTCCGCCCCTCTCTTTGTACGTCTCTTTCCATTTCTCTTCGAGCTGTGCCCTCATCCATGTTACCACGTCTGACAGTTAGCACACATTGTGGCACAAGATGCAGTGGGGGTGGAGGATTTGTGCCACGGGGGTTTACAATCTGTCTCCCCCCGCCTTTGTAAAGAAAACACCATGTTGTTTACCCTCGTGTTCTGAGACAGAGGTAAATGTTTCTTTATGTAATCTGTCTAATCAGTGAGAGAGCCTGACTAGAGGAGAAGCGTGGGAGCTTTGGAGTACTTTGATTTGAGTGACCTTGCCTTTTCATGCTGTCTGGCTCTGCTGCGAGTCCACACAGGTATAACAAACACACACACACACACACACACACACACACACACACACACACACACACAGCCAGACAGAACATTAAAGCATCAAACATTAATGGTTCATAGCAGTGGTTTTACAAGTTTGAGTTTTCTACAAAAAATCATGTTTGCTTGCTATTAACAAATGCATTGTCTGTTTTGAATGTATTGTTTTAAAAATATGGTTGTATCCATTTCTTCCATTCATTCCCATACGAAAATCACTTAGCAGGCATCTGCAAACATTTGTGGACTCTAAATCATTGCACTTATACAAAATAATTCCAGTGTATCAAAAAATGTGTGTTGTTGCCGCTGTATGATTATTTAACTATTTGTGGTTATTGCCACATTCTTTTTCAGTGATCAGAGATAAATATTGCACAAAAAAAACCGTTTAAATGTTATCATACGACTGACTTGATTTTCATTGTAGTGCATAACACAATCCAAGCATGTATTTTGAGCCAGCAAATTAAACCACTGATTTCCATGGAAACTTAAGGCAGAAATACAGGATCGTTTTCAAATGGTATGCTGTAATCGTAGTCGCAAACAAACAATGGGATATGCGAACCCATGATTTGGTCCCTATAATTGTTAAGTTATGCAATAGTTTACGTTTTTATTTTTTAATAGGGAAAAATGTATCGCTTCCTGAACCACCAAAGTAGATAGACACACTTCCATATGGGTTGTTACATGTGTGGGAGGAAAGCATGAGTTGACTTCAGCTCAGAGAAGGCTTGATGACTCAGGTCGGCTGGGGGAAGTTTGCCCTCAGAGAAAGGTAGAAAGCATTTGATGTGGACAAGTATAGGCAGGCAGGTAGAAAGCGGAGGAGGAGGAGGAGGAGGAGGAGGAGGAACAGAAAGACTGATGGATGAACACTAGCCAGGCCGTGTATCGCTGTTATTCAACAGCAGACGGTGCAGACTAATTACAATGCAAATTACAACATGATACTGAGGTTGGACAAAGTGTGTGAAGCGCATGTGTGTGTACACGGGTGTCTCTTCTGCCATTACATGTGGGGTTTATCTTTGCCCAGCAGGCAGTGTTGTACCATATGGTCCACAGACTATATTCCTAAAACAACACACAAACTCAATCCCTCACTCACTCACTCACTTAGACACACCCACACACACTGACTCAGACTCAAAGACACATACTGTAGGGCAGGCTCACACATAAACGCCGACATGTGCCCATAAAGAGAAAAAATAACTATTGGGAAAAATGAGAAGAGAGACAGAGCAAGAGGCAGCCATCTGCCCATCTGCCCATTTTAGATTGCTGAGAACCACAGATCACAAACCAAGTCTTTATTACACAACAAGCTAACACTGTGCTGAGTCAAGCAATGCATTACATCCCCTTGCAAATGTGCAAAGAGTTAGGGATTCACAAGAAAAATGAGAAAGGCCGAAAGGAAGTGGGATAACGAAATGATAACCCTTCAGACTTTTGTTTATTTGCCAAACAGGAAGTTTGCAGTACACGAAAACAGGACAACATGGCCCTCTGTATTCCCGTTACACAGCAGGACCTCCAAGGGGGGCTGGCTGGAGGGCCACTAAGCACCTCAGAGCCCATTATGGTCTGGAGGCTTACACAGCCTGAAATGACATGAGAAGGAAGAAGAAACAGGAATAAGAAAGGAGTGGGGGGGGGGGGGGGGGGGGTGACATGTTACGAGCATTCAGAGATGTGCACTCACTCTAGACAGGCGTCATTTGCGTAGGTCCATTCGCATTTGTGTGTCGGATAGCCCTTTGTCAAAGCTTCAAGGCTACTGCATGGGGGGGGTTCATCAACTCCACAGGATAAGTGACATGCTGGAATCTGTGTGTGTGTGTGTGTGTGTGTGTGTGTGTGTGTGTGTGTGTGTGTGTGTGTGTGTGTGTGTGTGTGTGTCAGAGTAAATAAATAAAGAGCAGTAATGACTCTGAGTCATATGATCCCCCTGCGCAGTGACACTAATGGCATTAGCCTGAATGAGAGACCTGCTGCGTGGCCTCCTCCCGTCCCTCATATCCCCGTTTCCTCCCCTCTCTCTTCCTCTTCCCTGTTTCCTCTCCTCTGTCATCTCCAGCTTGTCTTTGAAACGTTTCCCTCACATGCATTTCTTTGTTTTTGGCAGACGGTTGCTGAAAAGATTTGGCCTACTACTAATTGGGTGTCATCTTATAATGGCTTACAATCAACACACTCAGTGTTAAACATCCGAGATATCAATCAATGTTTTCAGGATTGGAGTCAACTCGCAGTTCCAAATTAAAAGAGGATCAAGGGAAGCAATTAAGAGACTCAACATGAGATGCGCCTGTTAGGAATTATCCTTAGAATTCACAGGGAATTGTTGTTTTTGATCTCTCAGAACAGTGGTTATTTTACATGTGTATAACAGCTTTGAAGACATACTGATTATGGATTTTCGTCTTATGTCTTATTAGAACACAAATAAAAGGAAACATTTTTGTCTAGGAAATATGCTTATTTTCTTTCTTGCAACTGAGAAAAAAATGATACTTTCTGACGTGTGTGTGTGTGGTAAACAGAAAGCCTGCAGCTGGTTAGCATAAAGACTTAGACTTAAGGCCCTGACACACCAGGCCGATTTCGGCTGTTCTCGTAAGTCGGGAGACGAAGCGTGTTCTGTCGCCCAAACTCAATTTGGTGTGTCCCGCACCGTCGACCGTGACACGCCTTATTTGGACTGCCAGACCCGATGCATGGCCGATTCAACATGTTGAATCGGCCATGCATCGGGTCTGGCAGTCGGACCAAACAATCACTCTGATTGGCTGTTCAGCTAGCGAATCAGTGCATGAGAAGCGAAACGGAAGTGAGGGACGTAAACAAACGATTTAAGAAGGCACACACAGACTGTTATTCATTTTCATCTCATCATGGCGATCTGGAATGACGGAAACGAAGACCTGCTCATCACATTGATCCAGGAGAGGCCAGCTCTGTACGACATCACAGAGAAAAGGTACTCGAACCGAGTAGTGAAAACCGGACTCTGGCGAGAGATTGAAACGCAACTTGGTTTCTCGGGTAAGATTATCTTTTTCATCAATTGAGCTCTTTAGCAGATATTGTTGGCTTTTTATTGTTTGCCAGCGTACAGTGACGTTAACGTGAAATGTAATTTGTTATTTCAACCTTGTGTTTTGTTGTTATCTTGTTGCTACCTGTGCAGTTTGGCACTGCATATAGAAATGAATTGGACATGCTAACTAGCCACAATGCTTACATCGTTTATTTGTGTGCTTCAGAGAAAGAGCTGAGGAAGAAGTGGGATTCTCTGCGAACCCAGTACACCCGGTACAGGAGACTTGCCCCTTCGGGTAGTTGTGGAGCACAAAGGACTGGCAGACAGCAGTGGATCATAACCAGGCTGCAGTTTGCACACGCTATTTGTTGTTGTTTATATCACGCAGTCTGTTCTTCTTCTCTGTCTTCCGGTTGTTGCCTATTTTTAATGACGAATACACACTACCGCCGCCTGCTGGTAAGGAGAGTTATTGCCACTCACGCACTGAAGTATTTGCGGTGTGTTCCCGTGCAACACATGGCCAAGACGCAGGAGAACACCGCGACGCAACAGCCGACGTCGGCGAGTCCTCTGGTGACTGCTTGGTGTGTCAGGGCCTTTACTCTGTCCAAAAGCAACACATTTGATCTGCAACCTCCTCCAAAGCTGATTAATCATGTTTAATCTGTTCAAATTAAAACAAAAGTCGGGGGTATGATGGACTATGTTTTAGCCACAGGGAAGTTTTAGTGTTGTTACATCATGTGCACCCACGAGAGACAATCCAGAACGCAAATTATAACCTTTGGATTTGAAACTAGGCTAGGCTGGAAGTAGCCTTATATTTACCTTGTTGACATGTTAATAGTATTGATCTTATCCATGAACTGTTGGCTATAACAAAAAAACATGGAGGTGCAAGATGTAAAACATATGACTCTTGCAGCAAGCAGCTAGTCAATAGTTGACTTACCAAAGTCTGGACAGATGGTCCTCCACAGCTAATAAAATAAATGAAGAAAGATGTGAGTGAGAAGTAAGTGGGGAGCCTAGGAGAAAGAGAAGAGTGAAGGGAAAAGGAAAAGAGCAGCACAAGGACCGACACTGAGTCACACAGCAGGACAGGAAGTCTTACATGGAGACACCCTTCCTTCCTGTCAGCTCACTGATCACCAACAGTGGACACCATTCAGTCTCACATCACAAGACACATGGGACAAGTATTATGCTGGGTAGTAATGAGCATTGCACTTTGTTAAGGAGTTGTACTACTATGTATTACCCATAGTAAAAAGTGCAGCATCGAGTCAAGCACTCTCACACACACACAACACCAGTCAGTAGGCAATCTTTTCAGGGAACAGTAGCATTTTCTCACCTTCTGTTTTCGATTGAAGTGCCTGTGATGATGAAAAAATACCCAGGAGGTATATATTTTATCATTCTCAGTGTTTTATTTTGGTAAAAGCCTACAGGCAGCAGGATTAGGACACACTGAAGTCTTAGCAGCCAGACAGTGCATTTGAGCCCATTGATCAGCAAAATACTTTGTAACCAAGCACAGAGTGCCAAAGGCTGAAAGAGAAAGGAGCATTGAGTTCCAGATTTATATGAAGCTCCCATCTGTTAACATGCTTTTCAGTTATCTCATTGTGCCTGTAGCCTAGCAATACATTTGCATATGAGCATTAGATGACTGCAAATATAATTTTGACACCTTCAAAGAAAAATGAGCGGGATTTGATGTAATTTTCGCAGGCAGACACTGGCTAACTTAGCCCACACCACTAAGTGTGATCTGTCATAACAGAGGAAGATGGCACATTTGATACCATGCATCATTGCTCCACTATTGCACCCAATATGGCTGGAGATGTTGCCACTTCTTATTTAAGATACCTTGTTGAGTTATTGAAAATGATTAACACTTTGGAGAAATGTTTGATGAGTTTTTTTGTATGTTGTCTAGCATGCGCAATAAGGCCCAGCCAGGAAACATAGAAGAAGGGCACACGGCAGAGAAGAACAAGTCTGCAAGGCTGAATAAAGTATGTTTACAAAGTTTCAAAACATGTATTGTTTAAATAGCCTTGTTTCATGAGGAAGGAAACACGTGTTGTGTTGTTGTAGCGAAACACTGAATATAACATAGATTTAAGAAAACATATTTAAGTTAGACCAACATATCAATGCAACAAGTTTTCTGATCAATGATGTCAGAATTACGTCTTTCTTTCCGTAGGTCCTAAGTAAAACCGTTAACAAAGCAAAGCAGTAGTGGAGCAGGATACAGAGCCCAGGGATGTGGGTCAACAGACTGGAGATTCCCACTGTCACAGGAGACTTCCCCTTCCATAGCTCCACACAGGATATGAGCAATTTCCTCAGAGCCTAGCTTCTCCAAAATTCCCAGAAATAATTTCAATGAAGAGGGTCATATCTGGGGCATCTGCTACATCTACCACATAGAGTATGTATAATGTAACTTATGTATGATCATTATGCTGTTGCATGTGTGAACAGTTAGCAATTGTACATGCAGTTGTGATTGCACATGAACACACTCTACTTTGTCAACACAAACATCTCACAGTGGTTTCACTGAAAATGATAGAGCCCAATGTGTGACTCATGTTGTAATAACCTGATGTCATGTGTTAGCTGCAGAGGTATGAATGTTTGCTCCTGACTTCTGCTGTGTCACGGTCACTTCCTGCTGCAGTGTGTTGGTGTGCGAGACAGATATTCTGGGTGGGGCTGTTGTGTAATTGTACAGGCTAAACTCAGCTGTGCAACACACTGATTTGTCCATGCACACTTCCTGTCATGACCATATTTGGAAAAAGTTTCAGAAAGGTAAATAAACATGCTTTGATACCTCGGCTGTTGATTGTGTAAATATAGTACAACATAATCCATAAAAAGATCATTACCTTTTATTAGAAAATATTCTTTACGATTTACAAACTTTCTCAGATTTGTGTTACGATTTTTAAAGATTACAGTTTATCTAAGAATTTTATGTATTAGAAAATAAGAAACCATTTAAAGTTAATTCTGAAGAAATAATACGACATTTTCTATTTCCCTAAATTGTAAGGGTTTATATGTGAGTTGGTGTGCAGATTCAATACATGCACATTTGAGTTTGTTTCAATTATAGACAGAATTACTACATGTATTTGCCTTTTTCGGATGCCACTGGATTACTTACTGTGTGAATGAGCTGATTTATTGTTCTTGGTAATGTGATGATTTTAGGAATGTTATGAACATGACACTTTGGCACTGTTAAGGCTAATATAACTATATGTTGGTTAGAAATGTGAGAGACATCCATACTAACGGCGACTATAAGGACAAATATATCCTGAGAGCTCACACAAACAAGGCAGTACGGAAATACACACATACTTCTCACTATGACAAATGTGGCTCTTTCTGTAGCTGTTATCTCCCACAAGGTTTCTTTTTTCTGCCCCCTAGTTGCTCAGGTTATAAAACAGTATTGCATAACAGTGCCTCGAGAGAAAGGTTTGATGATGAATCTGGACTCATAACTTGGGGGAGGAAGGAGGCAGGCAAAGAGAGGTATAAGAGGAGAAAATAACTATATCAACAAACCTAAACAGGAACAAGGTATCTATATAAAAATGCTCTTCCGGTCTCGTCTCACCAAAGAAAACACACACCCTGAACTGAAAAAGCACAAAGTGACAAATTCCTAGAAAGGCATGTCAACCCAGATTGTAGTAAAGAGGTGGCGTGAATGACAGGATATACCAGAGTAATGATGACAAGATGCAGAAACTCAGTGAGGAGGGGGAAAAGATGATGGAATGAGAAAAACAAATGGGGGAGGAAGGTCATGGATGTCACAACATGTTAGTCAGAATGCTGACGTTGCCGTGGTGACAGGAGGGTAACACTAGGGTGGTGGGAGGCTGTCACATGACCCAGGATCAGGCCCTGGAGGAGGATGCCACAAACCTTTTCCTGACCAGATAGGGGGAAGGAAAGGAAAGGAGGGCAGGAGCTGAGCGCAAGTTACGTGTACGTGATAAAGTTCAGCTCTGAACAAAGCAGGAAGCAGAATAATGCAGCGAGTGAAGACAGATTTCTTTCCCCAGAAGGCCAAGGTTCAGATCACACTACATCAAGCATCCTGTCCTGCTATATTGTCCAAAGCTCTACATTTACTCCCTCAGGAGCCATGTGAATATTTTCACCAGCTTTTAACTGAGCCTAGTTATTACCCTGTTGACTAGTTTGAGATGTACGCATCACATCAATACTAGAAAGGATTTAAACTCAGATAACTGCTTGAAGACAACCAACTGAAATGGCTAATATTAGCTGGATTATAGAGTATCCACTGACCTCGCAACATTCCACAAAATAAAACAATTTACCTTAATTGACTAAACTTAAGGCCAATAACATTAGACCATAACAGCACAATTTGATTTTACCCACTGATTATAAACTGCATAAACTCTGAAACTCACTTTCCGACATGCATGTATAAGAGACTCACTATTCACTAAAGAAAATCATTACAGACTTAAGGGACTTCATTGGATGGTGCTACAGATAAACTAATGTTGACCAGATATAAAGGGATTTAGTAAATCCCTTTAAAACTAGCTCCTAGTTTTAACCAAACTCAAACCTCTGCCAGAGATGGTGTTTTGTTGCAAAATGTGTTAAATGTCCTTGTAGTGGGTGTTGCCATAGTTAAAGGGTGTTGGTATTATTATATCATACACAGATTCTCACCAAGGAACTGTCACAACCAATAGTTTCTAACTTTTCTCTTCTATCAAAATCCCTCACAGAGAATGGCCAGGTCCAAAGGATGTTGTTTTCCCTTCTCTAAATATGGCCTAATGCATCACTTCTAAACATCTGTTGACACAAACAAACAAGGAAGTATTCAAGGCCATTCACTTCTTGTAAGTCTTCTGACAAAAGACGTCAGCCTGTCATTCAACTGAGAAACCAAGCAGGCACAAACCTCAGGAGCTACATCTGAGGCCTGCTGCAGAGCACCAGCAGCAAAGTCACTGACGCAGTGCGTGACTCACTCAGACCAAAGCTAACAGAGATGTTATTGAGAATGTATAGGCATCTCTCGAAAACCATATATACCGATACAGAAAGATCAAACTGCAGCCTGCCATGCCTTCACATGTATGACCTGGTTTTTTCCCACCATAATTAAAACCCTTATTGCAACTGAGCTCAATTACAAATCGGGTCCTTAAGCATTCCTTTTCCTCACTGACACCAGTGAATAAAAGCTATTTATCATCCACACACAGGACTTTGCGAGTAATTAGTCCTGTCTGTCTGACTAGCTCAATTGGCCTAGTTTCCTATTCAGATGGAGCTTTGATGCAAACTAAGGCAACGGTGCTATGATTATCTAAAGATGGGTATAAAGAGCAGTTGGACTGCTTGCCAAGTGGGATCCATCTTGTGACAGAGCGGGGCGTGTCTGGAGGCCTATATAGACACACCCTGCACTCTCGCTGTTATCCCTTATCTCAGCTGATCTCTCCTTTTCTCTAACTTTGTTTGTTGTAGCTTCTTGGTGATATTCTTCTCTTGTCTATCAGAGTGGTGATCAGAAGAGAGAGAAAAGCCTTGGGAACAACAAGGGTGTTACTTCCAATCAGACTTGAAGGACAACTGCAAGGCCAATGCCCTGAAATGAACCACAAAGAACACATGAATGCCACTCCTTGTCACAACTTTCTCCCCTGATCCATCTCTCTTTCAGTTCAGGCTAAAGGCATGTCCAGACACTACAGTTGAAGGAATGACAGGAATGAGAGGAATTCTGGGGTATTCCCATCCCGGCACAGTCAGCTCTCTGAATGAGAAGGCCGCTCCCTGATTTACTGAGAGAGGTGAATCAAGACACAAATGGATAAACAGTCACAACAGTTTTAACTCTTAACTGACACTTGCTATGTCCGGACGAGATATACAATGAGAAATAGTAGTTCACACAATCAAGCCCACTCTTGTGTATGGAAAAAAGCAGCAGAGCAGCAACATTACTGTCAGATATAGCAACATCTAGATATTAGAAGTTCCCTCACAATCTACTGTCAACTGTATGGTAAGATGTTACACTTAAATAAAGCATGGCCAAACTAAAATGAATAGTCTCATGGGCTAAGTAATAAATGGGTAAATATGTAACTGACAACCAATGTTCCTGTGAGTGACAACAGAGGAGGTGAGTGCAGCTTGTGTCTGCTCAAAAACTTGGTGTAGGAATGCTGCAGGAATCTAAACTGCAGTGGGCTTAAATGTGCACAACGTGGGTTAACTGCAGTGTGTGTGTTCATCTGTGACTGAAGGAGAGAAAAAACAAAGCTAATTCAGCCTTCTAGGCTAAGACAAACAACGAGTGAATGGTCATTCCTGTGTTGTTATGGTAATGGCTAACAGCGAAATGACTGTGACACAAACTATAAAATTAACAATGTTGCCGCATATAAACTAAATGGTCAACAGTAGAAATGCTTATAGAGTCAAATGGATTTCAGAGAGCATACTGCCATAGAGTGCATAACACGCACATGTGCCAAGAAAATCCAGGCGAAAACCACACTCTTGAACACAACAGAGCCTCAGAAATAGCATGATGACGCTGGGAGAAAGAGAAGTCTGTAATTCAGCAAAGAGCCTATATAGTGATTAAGTCCCATGTAAAAAAATGCAAACACACACCACCCACTCTCTCTGGCTGTGTAGCAACACTTCCTGTCAAAGCAACCGCTACCAACAGCTAAATATAAAGAGAAACAGCACAGACCCTTTGCAGCAAACGATACATTTAACCCTTATCTTAAACATTGAACAAAATCTATATTTAGTTATTTGCAACCAAGGAAAGGCAATTATTTGTCTAAGGCTGTACAAATCTGCCCCCACAATTATCAGCAGGAATAAGCTAAGAAAGTTAAATTGCACTCCCTGTCATAGCAAAGAAAATATATGTTTATGGCAACGGAGTGGAAGATGATCAAAGAGACCGACACCCTCCTCTTGTACAGTCACCATTCCAGCAGTGACTGAACGCCCATAGGTCACAAGGCCACCCCCAGCAGCCATACCACATCCCAACCCCCCTTAACCATGGCAACCACATCACATGACTATCTCCCATGACCAGCAACCACTGACAAACCAGGCCATCCGTAAACCTGATCATAACCGATGTCCTGTTGGTTGCATCTGAAACCAATAGTTATCCTCATTACATCTGTTACATTAAAATAAAAACACTGAAATTGAAGAACGCAACTACAACATACTAAGACCTAATATGCTTAAACCTATTAAACTCAATACCACACAAAGAGTCTACATTGGCGCTGAGTTGTGCAGAATTAAAGGTTAGGAAGTGAAACTTTTACCTTCTCACTTTCTACAGAGATAAATCAAAGGAAACAGGAACTCGACAGGCCCCTTTCTTTCCAAAGGGCAAATTCTTCAGCTATCAGATGTTTATACCACAGCAAGAGACAGAAGCTGCGCAACAGTCAGAGATGGAGGTGTACACGTACAGTATCTGGGGCATAGCTGTAATAACTTCTCCCTCTTATCCACTTACAGTTAGCAATATTATTTTAAAAGGTAGAGTTCAAGTTCAGCGCTGTGCATGTCTAATCACGCAACCTGTATCAGTGTCTTGGAGGAAACCTGCCATCAGTTTTGATTTTAAACAGGTGTGAACAAGCCACGGCTTGTGATGGGTGTAAGGAAGATTTGAGACCTGCTGCTATCAACAGCCAGACAAACACAAAGCACATCTGGACTAAAGCTCATGCTGTCAGCTTAGGGGAGAAAAATACAGTGTGGGAACATGGAAATGTTTTCTACTAACACACAGAAAGAATCGGCAATCACTGTAACATATGTCATTATCATAAAATCTCTTTTTAATACCACAATACTAACGTTGACCCCATTTGCCCAGCTCTTATGTACATTACTCTTTAATTGCACCTGTTGGATGCAATATTCAAGCTGAATTGCTCCTGTACCCTGACCTCCTCATGCCCCACAGTCACATGGTGCAGGCAAGGCCAAAGAATGCATATGATAGCATCGCTTACACTGGCTAACAGGCACAGATACCCGGTCCACAGAGGGGTCCGAGTCTGTGCAGGGCGGTGACAGGCAGACACATATGCTCACACATACCAAAACACAACATATACACAGTATACAACTTGAAGACCAGCACATATTTACCCAGAGAAAAACCGGACTCTATAAGTAAAGCTTGTGTTGCGTTTGTTTACTCCCCCGCCCCAAGCCATACTGCGGTCAGGCAGCCAGAAGGGGCTAAGTAATCCCTGTAGGTAAACAGAGGCGGATCGGGGCCTGCTCAGTCATAACGGCCTCTCCACATCACACACACACACACACACTGCACCCAGGCTGAAGATCTGGGCTGAAACACTGCTACACCCACAGTTAAGAGACATGGCTCTAGAGCAGCACAGCCTGGCTTTGGCTATCAATGCACTGATAGACTGATAAGACTGACAGACGGATAAGATAGACGCATTTTCCTCTTGATGACATTGTGTTGCTGAATATGGTAAAGGTAAAGCAAATCTACGAATCTACTTAATAGATTTTTAATTTACAATTATCTTTACACAAATTCTTGCTCTTAGGAACGGAACATGCGCTCCATAGCCTGACAATAACCATCCTTACATTACCAGTGTCATGTTTGTAAACAACGCAACATACAAGGTTACGAGGTTAGTTTGTCATCCATTTTAGAATTAGTCATAACATGTGCACACCTTAGTCTGGTTGCTTTCAGCTTTTGATTGTTCACATTCAACACATGCACAGTAATCTCAGCGTTAACCACACGGAAGGTTTTGTGTTTGTGAAAAAATAGCATTACAGGGCTTTTTGTCCGTTTGTGTTTAAGGGGAAGTCCCGTTACTGTAAACTATGCATACAACAACATTTCCTTTTTTATAAACTGTATTACTGTGGTTTTTTTGTAGTAAACTCTTATTGTTGCAGTATGTAAATATACTAAGCTATATTAAGTAATGATAAACTGTTACCTAAACTGCTCATAACATCTTTGTTTGGGATCAGCAAACTAGCAATTATGGATACACAATGAAACAAGTGAACAAAGAGAAAACACAGCATGGTTTCTTTAAAAAAAAAAAATGCAATTTGTATTAAAAGTCTTGTTTTTGACAGCCCATTGTTAAATGGCTGGTCTGAAATTCATCTTACAATCAGGTTAGATTTTTCAACGGTACATCATCACATTTCCTGTTAAAAACAACAAAATAAACATAAACAGAATTTGATTTAAGTGGTCTGGAAGGTAAGCGTTTGGTGTTGTCATTCCAGTACCTCTGCATTTCAAGATATGTTTGGCCAGACTAAGCAGACATTGCAAAATGAACACCTTAGACTTAAAAAAGGCCAACGTAAAACATACAGAAAACCGCCATTCCATTAACAAAAAGCCTATTGTAGTTTCTTTTCAGCCTCCACCCCTACGAGATTATCCAGAAGAACAGTTCCCTAAATTGTGGATTGCCATGTTGAAGGGTTCTTTTGGTGATATGTAGGTTGGCACTAAATCTGAACTGCTGATTTGTTTAGGAAAGGCACTCGACACAAGGGCGATCGGGTCCCCATGTCACTTCAGTTAAGGTCCTCTCACACACTAAAGAGGAGATGAAGAAAAAAAAGTGGCACTCATCACGTTTACTCCACCAGCAGATAAGTGGGGTCAATTTATTTTGACTTTGGAAAAAAATAGGATTTGGAGTGTTGTGGAACGTCGCTCCGATAATGGGTTAGGGAGATATCACCAAAAATCTTTACCCGCCCCAGACTTTGCAGTTTATTTAACAAAATATACTCTATCTCTCGGTCTTCTTATACAGAAACATCAATTTATGAGTGTCTTTTAAGTGTTGCCCTCCATTTCTTTTCCATTGGGGTTTAGCTCCAGTTGTGAATACAGTTGGAACTGGTGAGGGGGTTGTTGCTGAAACTCTGGATCTGACACTGTGTTGACATCAATGGTGGACACTGATCGTGCAGCAAAGATACTCCAACCCAGTAGAATTCCTGAAGAGTGGACCCCTCCCTCTGAGTCTCAGTTGCTCCCCTCCTCCTCCTCTCGTCCCCCTGCAGCATTCCTCCAAGGCCAGGGTGAGAAACGAAGAAGAGCTCAACAGTACACACTCGCTGCAACACACTGCCACAAACAAAAGATAGGAAGAGCCATGAATGAACTACAACAACCTCTGACAAAAGTAAAAACACATTTAATTTAAGGCTTATTCTGGGAGTCTTGATTCTAGGCCATAGAAGAACATCGGAATCTCCTGACTCCTGTTAACCTCATTCTGGAAAATACAATTTGAGCTGTTGTTTAACAACTTCAGACTATAGGTGTAAATATTAAACTACTAACTGTGTAACCCTTATTTAAGTAACTCATAGCTTGTCCCTCCAGTTTAGACACTTCCCCAATCTGCTTGGCAAAACAATAGACTGCAAGTACCTACTGTATGTCACAAGTGAAAACTAACACTGAGCTTGTATAAACGAGCACTGACATTTAAATGAATACACAAAAAGGCTCAAATTAAGCCCAGTTGAGCATACATCCGGTATGTCGCAGTGCATTTATCTATAGGCTTAGTATTGACATGTGCTGAGAGGATTTCAGTAAGTGTAATAAGTAGCCTAGGTTACTGGTGGTTACATAGTGTCAATTAATATCATTAATGTCAGCTTAACATTTCAAGTGTATGGTGTCTCAACTTACCATTGCAAACTTAAAACCGAGCAAAGAATAACACTTTATGGTTGTCCTTTTTCTTAAAGAATGACACAAGACGAGCAGCACTGATCGTCGCCATTAGGTGTTGAAGAATAGTTCATCTGTCGGACAATCTCTGCAAACAGTTCGTCCACCGACGTTTTATTTTTGGCAGAAGTTTCGATGAACGGGCAGTTCCATTCGTCCGCCAGTGCCTTCCCCTCAACGGACGAGACCTCCCTCTCCCCCTCCAGGTCCACTTTGTTTCCAACCAGAATCATGGGCACTCTCTCGTACCTTTTCACCCGAATGATCTGATCCCTCATAGGCTTGATGTCCTGGAAGCTTTGCTGGTTCACCAGGCTGTAGACCAGGATGAAACCCTGCCCGTTTTTGATGTACAGGTCTCGCATGGAGGCGAACTGCTCGGTCCCCGCCGTGTCCAGGATCTCCAGGACGGACGGAGAGGAGTCCACCTCGATCTCCTTCCTGTAGAAATCCTCTATCGTGGGGTCGTATTTCTCTATGAAGGAGCCCGTCACGAACTGGACGGTTAACGCGGATTTCCCGACCCCTCCGGATCCAAGAACCACTACTTTGTACTCTCTCATGGTTCTCAGCAGACAGTCCTGCTTCCTCTCCGCTGTGAGCTAGCCGCCCTGCTGGGTTTCAAACGGCTCACCGCTGCGCCTCCGCCAGCACTTTAGTACGGGCTCTGCTCGGTGGATACGGGGCGTTGCCCTCAACTATCGCTGTACAGGGGATAAATACGGCTGTTTCGCACCCACGCTCAGCATTTCTATTGTGGCATGTTGAGTTCCCGACGACAGCCCAGCCGGTTCTTGAGCGAGCTTCCCCCGTTTTCGTTCAAGTAGCCACCGTGCGCCCGTTCCTGTCTTTGCTGGAGTCAAGTCAAACACTTCCGAAACAATCTACTTCCTGTGTGTGCTTTCACAATAAAAGTTTAATGACCTGATGTGTCGAAGTAAATCCCAATATGTACAGCTAATTGAATAAAACAATTCACATGCTGCTTGTGTAGAAACAATGTGCGTAGTATTCTCTCTAATTATTACACAGACGTAATAGCGGATTATCACATTATTGAAATAAATATACAGGCTTTATTATATCCGGTATGGTTCTTGCTAACTTTAGCTAACTTGACGTCGTGATCCCTCTGTGCTTCCTGCCCACACTGCGCACGCAGTCTGCGTCTCACGTCACTCAATACATACAAGTGTTTAGTTAAAGGTGCAGTCCGACTTATCGCACTGTCAGCGCGGCTGCTACTCACTACCCACGCAGACCTGCAGCCACACCTTAGTTTCGACATTACTGATCCTGAGGTTGACAAATGCTTGACTCATTTGCACACAAGTTACTGGAAATACCTATTTGCTGCAATGTGGGCCGTGAGATAAGGTGTGTTGCTTAACCCCCAAAAGCAATTCAGGGCTTATCTTCTTAAACTCCTGGTTCATCATGAGTTTCAATATTTCCAAAAACACAATTTAATTCAGTGTGTATCACAAAACAATATTTCACCTAAAATGTTAAACATTTTCCCAATTGTGGGATAGTGGATTTTACCTGTAATGTATAGCCTACATAGGCCTACTGTTAAAAAATACCCGCAAGTTCTGATGAAAAAACAAGAACATGGAGGATGAACTTACAGTTACAAATCACATGAAGCATGACTCCACATGACACATCATAGGGCTTTTGTCTTGCATGCCCCTACACTCGTGTGCATATTTTGTTTTCTTGTTGAAACCTAGCACCATATTTATCTTAATTTCCCTGTTCACTGACTTGTGCAATCGAGCCTATTTCTGTATAGTCTGTCAGATCAATCTCTGTACCACAGGCAGACATGTCAGGAAGAAAAGTTTTTAGTTTTTCTCTCAAACTGTTCTGAAGTTATTCCTTGACTCAATAATTGTGGTGTAATCTTTAATCCAAAGGAAAATACATTAATAATAACAACTTTAATTTATATAGCGCCTTTCATTAACCCAAGGTTGCTTATTGGTAATAAAATCAATTATTTAAATCTTCAGATATCCCCTTGTGTGTGTTCATGTGGGTGTGTGTTCATCATAACATCCACTGGTAAATCGTGAAACATTCACTGTTTCTAATCAATGCCCGTCAGCATAGCGCAGTGATGATTAAACCACTTGTGACCTGATCACCCCGAGGGATAGCTGGGAAAACTCTGCTGGATCAATAGAATCTTAATTCATCCACAAATCACAAACAGTCATAAAACACACACACGTGCAGTGCGGTTACACCCATAAATGGGGAAGCACATTTGTGAGTGAGTGCATTGATTGTTGAAGCTTTAAGAGAAAATATTTCCATACATCTAACATGGATACAGACATTCAGGGGATTTTGGCTCTAGTTTGAGTAATAGGTGAGACATGTGAGCAGCTCGTCATGTGGGCTTTCCAAGTGCCCTGCAGCCAGCCCCTCCCTAAATCGTGTTAACAAACAGAAAGTCAAGTCTATACAGTGGCGGTTCTACAGGGTGGCACGGGGTGGCAGCTGCCACCTCAGAAAAATGCCTTGCCACCCCAGCTGCCACCCCAGTTGACAGCTTTGTTTGAAAAAAAAGTTGTGGCTCATCGGACATTTATGAGAGAAAATCTCTAATGTCCGAGTGCAAGTGAATGCAGCACAAGACGTGAGCCTTGTAACCCCTCCCCGGCCCTGGAACGAGCGTGGAAATATGATTGGCGGCGATTTCATTTGAACGGGGGACAGCGCAAAACGAGAAGCATTTCGCATCCAAGTCATGGATGTATAATAAGAACTGGATACAGCGTGGGAGGCGGGGCCTCATTCATTCCTATGAGAGTTGCTCATTAGCGCATGATGATAAAATGGCCCAACTTTTGAGAGAGTGAAACGTCACAGATTATCCGGCATTCCTGAGAATTACCCGTATTTGCGCTCATAGCGCATGCGCAACTTTAACCAAAATGCTCGTTCATATCAAGCACGTCAATTTGCGTACACGTAACAGCACCGCGCGTTCATGACAACATGGATTTGATATTAACGAGGCGGCAGTTAGCAGCTAGCGGCTAGCTAGTAATGATGCTAATGTACACATCAATTGTTATGTACTTATATTACGTTGTAACAGGATCTAGTGATATCCAAGCAACAGAGCTTCATTTAGCATGAAATAATTATTGCACTGTATATATACACACACAGTGCAATAAGCTTCTTAGTGCAATAATAAGCTACAGGGACGTTAATCTAACGTTGGTAATATTAACTTTATTCAATACAACATTTACGGTACAAGATTTAATCATACAGCCCATTATTAGCTCCGTGGCATGGCAATAAGGCGATATGGGTCCGTTGTTATTGTGCATCCATGGGTAAAGATAAAGTAATGCATGTAGTGCTGAACACGTAACATGAACGTGCAGGGGGGCGCGGTCCCGTGGGTTAGATGCGCGTTCATAATGCAGAAGGAAATAACTCTCAGAATAACGTTATTAGCACATTTTTACAACTTGAGGAACGAATGTTTTTAATAAGGGCTATACAATTGTTCATACTGGGTTGTTTATTTAGTTAAAAAAAAAGTATCCAACGATTTACAGACCACTCTTTCCCCATGTAAGTCAATGGGAAAAAGTGTTTCCGGGCCTGGCAACCAAACGGATGTGCAGTACCGCCATTTGGCCACCACGAATATTTTCATCTGAGTCCGGCGCACTTCCTGGGGGCTTGATCCAAGTAGACGGAAGGAATTTGCGGTCAGTGGCGGCGCCAGGGTATGGCTGGGGTAGGCTACAGCCATATCAAGAAATGGCTTAGCCCCACCATGAAAAATGATGTTAAGGTAAGCAAAATAAAGTCCGCCAACTCGCGCGGAGTAAATTGCACAGACAGCAGTTAGTAAGATTGATTTCAGTAGCCACTTGTCTGGAAATACCGAAGACGAGAAACGGTTTTGAAAACTTTTGTCACGTAGTGAGCGTCTTCTCAATAGCACATATTTGATAATGTCTTCTGGCCAATCAGAATCACGATAACGGCGTAGTGTTGTTGCAGGAAGTCCCGATACATCGATACAACATTACGTGTTGATAGAAATCAACACGTAATGAAATAAGACCCCACGGTTTGATGATTGATAGGTGTGTGGGCTGTCTTTCATTTTGACACACAGAACAATGGGGGCTATCCACCCTTATCCACAATGTAAAGTAATTCACAGCCTCTTCCCTCTTCTCTCTGTGAGGAGCAGCAGGTTCAGCTTTCAGAACAAAGTAACAACAAATTAAATACCATTCATTTTTTTTAAATAAATCGTGGAGTAATAGATTTATTTATTTTCTTCTCAAGAGAGTACCAGAATGTGTATTTTATGTTAGTATTTCAAAAAATCTCCTGGGGGAGAATCCACCCAGACCCCCCTGCAGGGGTTGGGTTTTCAGCATGTCAACTCTTTCACCTGTGGGGAAATTGCAGGATTGGCTCCAGGTCGCCCTTTTTATTTACTACAAGACAAATGTGCCTTTTTATTTCATACAGTTCAATTTGGATTGAGACAGGGAAATAATCTAAACCTCACGTGTGGCGTTTCACTGTCAAGGGGAGCGTGTATGTAATTACATTGCAAATACTGACTTGAGCCCCACCACTGTATGGGTTAGCCCGACCATAGATTAGAACACAAATACTCTGGCGCCGCCACTGTTTGCGGTCTACAATGACAGAGAAGAGCCTGTCAAGTTTGGCATCGAATCAAAACGCACCATAGCTTTAAATCTTAATAAGTGAGGCGTTTTGCTGAACAAGATGGTAATCGCCACATTCAGCTGTTATAGGCATGCCAACTTGATGCTCTGCTCACGGATGAGTCGATGAGAATAATAAACTGTTAAGATGATGACCTTACGTGTGTATATTTTTTTTTTCTTTGTGGGGGTCTGCCCCCAAAAAACAGTTTCAAGTCCTGAGAAAGTCAAATAAGACGTAAAACTTCACTGCCCAGCCAAAAAAAAGTAACCACTTTGATTTAACTAGGCCAGTAGGTAAGGACTTTCCACTGGATAATAATTGCAGCGATGTATATGTTTAAGCTGAATACACGTTTTTTAACCCTAACTGATGCAGTTAGTCACTTCTTTAATGTTTGTTCTTTCTGATGTAAAGTCAAGGTTGTAACTGTTTGCAATGAAGTTGTGGGGCGCTGAACTGTTCTTTTGATTATTTTGATATATGATAGTAATTACTTGTCTTTCAAATTTGAAGATGGGTGAGCAAGCATCTTGAGGAACATTCATCATTAACTCCTCCAAAAAATATAGTTTATTTAATAATAACACTGAATATCTGAATCATAACAGTGATTCTGATAGGAATAATATGATTGTTAATATTATCATATTCATTCAGACAAACATCGATGAGACAGTTAATTAATGTACTTATTGCAGCAGTCTGCATAGATTTGGTACCCCTGGTATTGTTCAGTTACTTAAAATTCATTAAATGATGTCTGCCACCTCATATTTATATGTAAGGCTTTACTGATGTGCCACAATAATGTCACCTAATGTTATTGAGTTAAAATATTAATATTGTGGCTTTCCAAGTTAACATTGATTGATATGACTGCGATTAAATCAGCATATACAGTACTTCTGCCAGGGGATGCCACCCCTGAAATTCTCCTGCCACCCTCTTGCCACCCCATGAATATTTGTCTAGATCCTTCCCTGAGTCTATATGAAGACAATCAGCATTCTGCCCCATGGGGAGTGAGGGTAAGGTGAGCTTTAGCCTTGTGATGTGTATTGTCACATCTGTGAGAGTGATCAGCCTAAATGTAAACTAGGCCATCCTGTCAGAGTTTGTTTT